CACCATCGACTGCCATGACCCCTTTATCTTTTTTAGCATACTTCAACATTCTCTTCTGAATCAAATCTTGCACATAACTGCAAAATGTAACACAGTTATTAGTGAAATGCCTGAAAGAATTATGCCACTTACAATACTCCTTACCAACCTTGTCCATTTCTTTGGGAATGTTATGGCCTAGAGTCAAAGTTAAAAATTTATTTGCTAATAATTCATCAAATAGTGTATCTGCTTTTGATAAATCAAAAGAATACTGCCTATGTAATACAACCATATTCTTTTTGGCTAGTTATGTTGCTGACATACTAACAGGTTTGTCGGCTTTCCTTAAAGTTTCACAAACCAAAGGCTTTTTACCTACGACTTGAGCAACATCTATGTCGATGTCAATATCAAATTCAACCTCTTGATAATAAGTTCCTAATGAGGCTGCATTTCTCTGCTGCTCTTCTCTGAGAATGGCCTCATAACTAGTCGCCCTTGAAGATAACTCAAATAGATCTATAAACATCATGCCTTCAAACTTTTTCCTAAGTTCAAAGTCTAAACTATTCTGAGCTAACCTTACAACTTCTATTTCAGGCATGTACACATGACATCTATTTTTTGCTTTTTTAAACCTATCGATGTACTGTTTTGCACTTTCTTCTTGCGTTTGTTTAAATTTTGATATGTCCACCATTGTCACTTCAGGCTCAGTTCTACAGAACTGGGTATGAAATTGACTCTCCATTTCTTGCCAAGTATGGACAGAATTTTCTGGCAAGTTAATAAACCATGTAAATGCCACTTTCGACAAATAATGAGGAAAGAGTTTTAATTTCAAATTATCATCATAACCAAGTTCTCCACATTGGAGAATGAACCTGCTTACATATTCTATAGTTGACTGTCTCTCTTCTCCTATAAACAAAGTAAACTCAGGATTTCTATAGTTTCTTGGAATAGGAGTTGTTTCCACCCATGAAGGGTAATGACTCCTAAATATTGGTCTATCTAGCCTTTTTAGGCCTAGACCATAGATTTCTTGTATGATGTTCATTATTTGCTACCTATTATTAAACTGAGGGTCTAAATATTGCTGTTGCTGTCTCCCTTCTTGAACTTCTGGTTGGAAGTAAGAAAAATGAGGACTAGGCCCTCTAGGTCTTGGATGCATTATGTTAGGTTCATAATATAGTTGCTGTATGACATGTTCCTGTGCATTCTGTGGCCTTACTTGATTCATTGACCTATTTCTTTGTTCCTGATAACCAGGCCTATCAAATGCAGGAATACCACATGCAGGAGTACCACACACTCGTGGCCTTAGTTGCCCCCCAAGCCTCATTTCCATATTATTTAAGTTATGATGAAACATTGAGTTTGTGGGGTATTCTCTCTCAAACACAGGATTTATGGTCATTCTCTCCTCATATCTTTCTTGGAGTGTAGGAGGTCTATAAAATGACACGGGTTCATTTACATTTTCATCCTGTTGAGAAGTTGCAGGTGGTATAAATTGTGCATTATTTACCTGAGTCTCATGTGCAATCTTTGTTGATTGGCTAGGCTTGATGTTGGCTTTCTCAAACAAAGCCAGCAAGTCATCTATCATCGCCTGGTTCTCATATGCTGACATGGAACCAATTGTTTGCTGAGTGTGCAACAGAAGAGCCCTTATTGGATCAACAAGAGGGCAACTAGATTGGCCATTTTTGGCCATTTTCTTGGCCTATTTCCTGTCTGGCCACTGAATGGCCATCAGCTAGGTTGTCTTGCACTCCTTCAAACCCACCTTCCAGCTCTTCTCCATCTTCAACCCTTTTCTCAAGGTCTTTAAAGACTTCATGTTGTTTCTTTCTAGTCATCACTCCAAATTAGACAGGTCCCACTGGGTGTGCCAAAATATGTTAGTAAAAATTTGGTTTGGGTCAAATCGACAGAAGTGATTCGACAGAACAACCAAAATTTCACAAACAAACAACAAATCAAGCAATTATGGTTGGTGTCCTATGCCTTGATAGATTCAAGAACTTCTTTGGAGGTTGTAATGAGGAGAAACATATGTGAATAAACAGAAAATCGATTGAAGAACAAGTAAAGTTGTTACTTAACTACAAAAATTAAATTACAAGTTCAATGTGCATGATAATTGACAGAGGAAAATTTAGCCACAGGGGCTGAAATATAAACAGACTACTCCTAAACACAGAAACTATTGCTAACTACGTTAAATTACTCCTAATTCCACATGGGTTGTGAGTTTGATTGATGCCTTTCTCCTTCGAATTCCCAACCTTTATGCTACTGGCCCTGCTATTTCTCTACTGACATGTGTCCCATCATGGAGCAAGTTGCCCTCACTTCTTGCACAACTGCCCATGATCTCCATTACCACTTGCAACTGTTTCTCTGCTACAGCCTCCTCTTTCTCTTGCAAATCAGAAAATCGATTGAAGAACAAGTAAAGTTGTTACTTAACTACAAAAATTAAATTACAAGTTCAATGTGCATGATAATTGACAGAGGAAAATTTAGCCACAGGGGCTGAAATATAAACAGACTACTCCTAAACACAGAAACTATTGCTAACTACGTTAAATTACTCCTAATTCCACATGGGTTGTGAGTTTGATTGATGCCTTTCTCCTTCGAATTCTCAACCTTTATGCTACTGGCCCTGCTATTTCTCTGCTGACACGTGTCCCATCATGGAGCAAGTTGCCCTCACTTCTAGCATAACTGCCCATGATCTCCATTACCACTTGCAACTGTTTCTCTGCTACAGCCTCCTCTTTCTCTTGCAAATGAACCACGTGCCCTACAACACTGACATGCCTAACTTCATGGCTTGACTCATGGGTCGCGTTTGGCTACATCCTACAACACTACTAGATGAATCGACAAAAGAAACTACATCTGCCACATTTGCTCTTTAAATGGCTTCAACTGCCACTTCCTCTGCATTCTGGGGTCCACCTCCCACTGTAAACTTATGGTTTTCACTCCTAGCATCCCTTGGATCAGGCCTCTGTATTTGTTATGTTTATTCGACAGAAAAAATAAATTTTAGTGCCAACAGACATATAATCAAACAATAAGGAATTCGGCTCCTCAGTAGTGTATTGTTTGTAATGTATTTTGTAGTATTTTAAAAAGACTTCATTTTAGAATAAAAATTTAAATATATATAAACAGAAACTGTGCATTACAAACAATGCACTACAGAGGATTTGAAATTCAACAGGAAGTACATCAACACAAAAATTAAACATAAAATCAAACACAGTAAACACATAGATTGACATAATTTTTCAACACCCGACAATATTAAAACTTTTTATAAAATTTTATCAATCTATGTGTTTTGTTTTTATATTTAGTTTACATGTTCTTAAAATACATTGATGAACAAGATTTTTCAGCAGAGAATCCAGCCAACAAATTTGATAAATTTTTATTCATTCATAATATATTTTATATGTTTAAATTAATTATTTACGACTTGTACAATGTACATGGCCCTTAACATGCCCGCTATGTGTGGCTTGACTTGGGGGGTATCCGTATACCTCAGATCCTAATTCACCAATATGTGGTGTGGATTTGACATATGAGCTGGATATGATAAATAGAATAGAATGCCATGTGCACCAACTGCTATGCAATTTCCATAACAGAAAAAATCAACCACTTCTCTTCTCATATAAACAAAACACAATATACTTATTATTTTTACAGAATTGTCAATGATTGCAAATTTCAAATTCTCTTTACAGCTCACAAACTTGAACTAGCTCATAAAGTGCTCTAAGTTTTCTTTTGTAATCCCATTCACAATATTCTCCTTCCAACTGTATTCCTTTGTTTTCTTCTCCCTTTTCACTCTCTCTTTTAATATATTATTTTAACTTCAATCCCCTCCTTAATTTCTTCTCCCAATAATATTCTCTGCATTTAAAATATATAAATATACATAAAAAGTAGAGGAAAAATTATAAATAAATAAGTCAATCTTAAAATAATTATATTATAGATAATAAAAAAAATATTAGTGTAAATCTGACACACAAGAAAACTTACACCAATTCTTGTGCTCTAATGGCACATTAACCAAATTAAGAATATTAATAAATATAGTAACATATATACCTTGCTTGTGACCTCATAATTTGGCATGAAACTGACTTAGGTCTCTTTTGGCAATCAGGTTAAAAGCTAGTTTATTTTTTAAATCTCATCACTTTTATACTTTTTTCCATTTTTTTTAAAAAAAAAAGCCAAAAAAAGATTGGTAAAAGCCACAATAATATTTTGTGTACTTTAATATTATTATGGATAAATCACTCCTACTTCTTCCAAAATTTAGAAAAAATATAGTATGTCCCACAAAATTGGTACAATTATATTAGACTTTTTAAAAAATTTAATTCACATAACACTTCACATTTGTCATTATAAATTTATTACTCATATATATATATATATATATATGAAAGAATGATATTGTCAATTCTTTTATATTGAATTGTATAATTCATGTTGTATATTTTTGTGTATTCTCTCATCTAAATTATTGCCGATCTATTTTTATTCTTATTAAAAATCTGTTAATATAATTATATCAAAATTATATAGTTTATTGTATTTTATTTGTTTATTTTTTTTCAAAATTCTAATTATTATTGCAAACTCTGCCAACTTTCTTCCTCAAATTCATCGTACTATTATAACATTTTTTTTTTTAATAAAAAGAAGAATACTTTGTTTCACACAGAAGCCCCAACATCATAAACCCATTTAGCTCCATCCATGCTACTCCATTGCAGATAAACAGAGTCCACCACCACCACCCACCACCACCACGGCATGGCCGGCGGAGACGCCGCAGTCGCAGGCGACGCCACCCAGGCTCCCCTCCGCTTGGTTCGCGACGTTGCACGGCTATCCTTGGCCGGGTTCGGAGGCGCCTTCAAGAGGGACTGTACAGATCTAGCACGAAGGGTCGCTCTTTTGGGTCATTTGCTTGAAGAAATTAGGGACTTTAAGGATTCAGATGTTGTTGCTTCTTCGTCCTCCAAATCTTCTAGTTTCTTGTCTGATTTCACTGTGGCACTTCAGGCTGCCAAGCGTCTCCTCTCTGCTGCCTCCAACTTTGATTCCAAGATCTCCTCTGTAAGAACTAATTTAACTAAATTATGTTTATATGTTCTTCTATACATGAATTTGGATGTGGGTAATATGCATTTTGTGATTGAATTTGAAGGACAATCATGGGTTACTCTCTGTTTTTGAGTTTGCTGAATTTTGGTTTTACCATTGATTTGGATTGTGAGTTTTGGTTTGCAATGACCAAGCTGATTAGATAGTTCTCAATCTAATCCACCAATATAAGTTTTTATTTTGAACATATTGACATCTCAATTCCATTTCTTATTTTGCAAATTTTTTAGAAAGAGTTATTGCATGGCATTGTGGTGGTGTATGGAGAATAACCCATGTTTAGCTAGCTAAATTAGCTAATTTGTCTTAATTTTGGCCAACATTACTTGGTGGCTTTTGCAAATTCATATATTGATTTAGGCAAATGCATTGTGTTGTTGACAATGATCAATTATAATTGGGTCTTCTTGCACAAAGTGAAGTTGTTTGATCTTCCTATCCTTTATTTGTCCTAAATTTATGCTTGATCTAGTTATCATCAAACCACTTTTGCATTCAATTGCTGGATTCAATTCATTCAGTTATTATTATATTTGCATGCTTTTCGCAATTCAGCCACTGCTTACCCCAACTGTAAGAGGTACATGGATCTGTGTTCTCCAACTGCATCTCTGTAAGACCATATCCTTGGTGGAATCTAAGGAATTCATGCCCTTTTTTGTTATTTTTCGCCTTCATCTTGTCCTTTTGATTCCTCAAACTTTGTTCTAAATTTCTCCTCCAAACTGAGATATTGATCTATTTTTGTTGCAACTTCTTGCAAGTGGCAAACCATCATAGCTGAGTTTTTCTCATCTCATAAAATTCTTGATTCAATTCATGTGTGATGTTTTTGGTTGCCTAGTGTAGGTGACAAATATTTTATGAAAACATCATTAGTTATTAGACCACAATAATCCATAATCCAGGAGGATCTATGACTTGTGCTATTAGAGCACACGCTGATCGAATGTCATTACCTGAAAGATATTTACGTCCCTTGTATTTCATTAACTTATTTATTTATTTGATGTGCATATATGAGTGTATTAGTTTTTAAAATGGTTACAATCAGATTTTCCGTAGTAAATTTGAAATTAATGCCTACCATTTTGGAGATTGTGAAGCATACCATTCATTTTGTTTAGTAATTACCCACAAATGTAAAACAGCTGCAGTTTCAATTGGTTTGTTAGTTGTAAAACATAAAACTTAATGTTGATGAAATTCTTTTGGGTCGTGCTATTCTCAAATTATTGTTGCATGGCCGTCTAAATTCTACTTTTTTTTTTCTTCTTCTTCTTTTAAGGATGGTTCTGCCAAGAAGATTGCCTTTCAATTTCAATGTGTGACATGGAAGTTAGAGAACACATTGGGAAACCTAGCATATGATCAGTTTGACATCTCAGAGGAAGTTCAGGAGCAGGTAAGATTTTAGTTCTGCATGATATTTTCTGACTTGGCTGAATTCAACACTAGGTAATGTTTTTTCTGATTTTCTCTTTCTAGGTTGAATTAGTGAAAACACAGTTGAGAAGAGCCACTGAAAGATATGGAGGGCCTCTAAGTTCAACAATATTATCACGTGCCTTATCCCAGCCACTAGACAAAGAAATCGATCTGCAACCACTTAGCCGTAAGGTAATGGGAAGTTTGCATGTAGAGAATATAGGTAATATTGATCATGAAGTTCAAATGAAGGTTGGTTCTGCTCCAAACGGCAATGGTTCACAAGGTCATAATACACATCAAACAAATCTTGAATCAGAAAGACCAAGGGACTCATCTGCATCATCTGAGGAGTGTCAACAAAATAATTTTGATGCGACCAGAAATCATCAAGAGTATAAAAAGCCTGATTCTCCTGTAATTCCTGATGATTTCCTTTGCCCAATATCTCTAGAACTGATGAGGGATCCTGCTATTGTTGCCACAGGACAGGTATATGTTGACATGGTGTTGTTTAAGAATTTTTAAAAGCTCAGCCATCTTTGTTATGCTTTCCTTCTAATTTTATCTGCCCCTTGATTTTACAGACATATGAGAGATCTTACATACAGAGATGGATAGATTGTGGCAACACAACATGCCCAAAAACTCAGCAAAAACTCCAAAATCTCACGCTTACCCCAAATTATGTTTTGAGAAGTCTAATTACTCAGTGGTGTGTCGAGCACAATATTGAGGGTCAAATGGCATTGGCAAATGGGCGGATAAAGAAGAGTGATGGATCATTCCGTGATGTTAGTGGGGACATAGCAGCCATTCAAGCACTTGTCCGCAATCTCTCAAGCCAATCCACTGAAAAACGCAGAGTGGCAGTGGCCAAAATCCGATCACTGTCCAAAAGAAGCACAGATAATAGGATAATAATGGCAGAGGCAGGAGCTATTCCGGTGCTGGTTAACCTATTAACAGCAGACGATGGTTTAACACAAGAAAATGCCGTCACTTCGATTCTCAACCTCTCTATATATGAAAACAACAAAGGACTCATAATGCTTGCCAATGCCATTCCATCCATTGTCCAAGTGCTTAGAGCTGGAAGCATGGAAGCAAGAGAGAATGCAGCAGCGACCCTTTTTAGTTTGTCACTTGCTGATGAAAACAAAATAATAATCGGTGCATCGGAAGCAATACCCGCTTTGGTAGAATTGCTCCAAAATGGAAGCGCAAGAGGGAAGAAAGATGCGGCAACAGCACTGTTTAATTTATGTATTTACCAAGGAAACAAGGGCAGAGCTGTGAGGGCGGGGATTGTCACAGAGTTACTGAACATGCTGACTGATTTGAGTAATTGCATGGTTGATGAAGCTCTGACTATACTATCGGTTCTTGCTAGTCACCCAGAGGCTAAGATATCCATTGTAAAAGCTAGCACCATACCCATCTTGATTGATCTTTTGAGGACAGGTTTGCCACGTAACAAAGAGAACGCAGCCTCCATTTTACTTTCCTTGTGCAAGAGAGATAATGAGAATCTTTCTTGTATAAGTAGGCTTGGTGCTGTAATACCTCTGACTGAGCTTGCCAATAGTGGGACTGATAGGGCCAAGCGAAAGGCTACGTCATTGTTGGAGCATCTTCGGAAGTTGCAGCAGGTCTAACAGGTGTAGTAGCACTGGAAAACTAATTATTACTTGTTTGGGTTTTTTTTTTTTTTGTTGGGTTATTTCTTCTTCTTCTTCTTCCCCCTTTTCTGACCATTAATGTTAGCCGATTCCTTTTGGGTGTGAAAACTAAGGATACAAGCATGAGAATACAAGCATATTCTCGTAGCTTATTGTGTATTCTTTACAAAGTGTGATGGACTTCATTCATTCTGTTGTTTTGAAATTTTTTACTGAAGATTCTTTCATCTCCACTCTGCTCTGTTGGAGGGATGAAAATAAACATGTTCCGAAAATTATTGAGATATTTTGAACATAAAAAAAGAAGAAGAATTATGTCTTTTTTCTTACCAATTCTATGATCTGTGCTGCTAATTTCAGTATGTGGTTAAAATCCAAACCATTGGCTAATAATTTATGACATTTTGTTTCTTGAGTGCATATTGAAACATCACATAAACTGCAGACATTGTGGCTGTCCTGTTGTTAGATTGTGTAAGACTTGAAAGTGAGTTTGGGAAACTTATAGTATTCTTAGCGGATTACTTATATTTTACCTTAAAATATTATTAAAAAATTCATTCCATATTTGAAGAATTATTTTTTCATCTACTTCTCTCAACAGATTCTCTATTATTTCTCTATTCTATTAACAAACTCTTTATTTTTTCTCTATTCTATTAAAATATAATTTTTAATTATAAATTAAAAAAAATAAAAATCATAAATGTGTACTATAGTGCCTAAAAAAAATTATAAAAAAAAAAAGAAAAAAAAATTATAAGGGTGCAACAGTGACTCTCTACAAAAAAATGTTTAAGGGTTCTGTTGGTAGTGTATAGGAAGCCATCAATCCCTTAAAATAGGTAAGGAGAGGGTTTAGGGGTTCTCCTACTGATGCTCTTTACTTATATTTTATTCTAAAATATTATTAAAAAATTCATTCCTTATTTTAGGAATCACTTTTTCATGTACTTTTTTCAAGACTCTCTATTTTTTTTGTATTCGATTAACAAACTCTATATTCTTTCTCTATTCTATTAAAATATAATTTTTCATTATAAATTTTAAAAAAATAAAAATCATAAATGTGTACTACAGTCCCTAAATAAAGCAAAGCAAATCAAAATATATGTATATATATGTAAAGGTACTACAGTGACTCCCTACACTTTAGCAATTCTTATTTTAGGGGAGTATTTAAAGAGCTGCTAGAAGTTTATAGAGGTCATCAAACCTCTTAAAATAGGTAAGAAGGTGATATAAGAGTTCTATTAGAAAAGCTCTTAGCGGATGATTTGTCTTTTTGATTTAATCAAAAAATTACATAAATTTCATTTGAAATTCTATATGCTTACAAATCGGAGACTCAAAGGCTTCATCGGTCATACATATGTTTCATGGGAAGGTTGTGAATTTCATTGGTCATACATACATTTTATAATTGTTGAATTCAATCTTCCTTCAAATTTATTAGGGAAAAATAAATATAATGAAATAGTAGAAGATTTTTGCTCTTTTTCTTTTTTGAATAAATAAATGAATGAACAAACACGCACTTTGTTGGTGTTTGTAATCCTTGTGTTCGAAGCTTTACCCTGATCAAATGTAATACATAGATTCAGCCATTCCAATTTTATCATAGGATGTAGGATTTGCAGTCTAAGACTGTGTTTCATTGAAAGATTTGATAAGAAAAATGAAAATACAAATAAAAATAAAACAAAAAAACAAAAAAATTGATAAGATTCGAATTTTAAGTTGTGTTTGGTTGAATTGAAAAATTGAGAGAAAAAAAAAGTCATGAATCCAACAAACAAAAAGTGAAATTATATTTTTCTCCTATTTTATTTTTTCTTATATTTTTCATTATAATCAAACAAAAAGTAAGATGAATTTCTTTTCTATTTTTTTTTTGGTCATTTCTCTCATCCTAACTTTTCAACCAAATATAACAGTGGGATGTAGTATTTTCACAGCTTCACATTACAATGATGTGATTGAGATGGATGTGGATATAGTGACCATTGCTGTGGATTAGCATTTTCCTTTTTGACAATTTTTGGTTTGCATGATGACAAGGATTGACAAAATGTTATAATTTTGAAATTTTAGTTAAGTTGTGCGAACTTTTATGTAATTCCTATTTATTTGTACCCCATTCTCTTGGGATTCAATGATTCCCTATAGTCATGTCGTGGTGGATAGCCTGTATAGAATATAGACCATTTTAGTACGAGAAATCTATACTATATACATAATCTAATATAGTGGTTTTATCAAAAATTTGTAAATATTCATTCTTAAATTTTTATAATTTTAAAATTCTTTCTTTCTTACGTGACAACCCTCTTTGATTGTCTTTCGTGTTTTCTATTTTCTTCAATTTTCTATTTGTTTGATTAATTAAAATGAAAATTAATTTCATGGCTTATGGATAAAGATTTGAATTTCAAAATTCATACATATAGATAAACATATAAAAACTGATAAATAATTTATGAAAATTAATTTCATGGTATACAGATAAAAATAAAAATTAAATAATTAATTTCATAACTTATAGATAATTTAAAATTTCTTCCCATAAATAAGCATATAAAAATTGATAAATAATTTATAAAAATTAATTTCATGGCCTACTGATAAAAATAAAGGTTAAAAAATTGATTTAAAAAAAAATTACTCATGTTTTTTGCCCTTCATTTTGTACTTTAATTAATTTCATTATAAATAAACATATAAAAAAATCATAAATAATTTATGAAAATTTATTTCATGACATTTAGATAAAGATAAAAATTATTTGAAAAATAATAATTTCATGACTTATAGATAAATAAACATATAAGAATTGATAAATAATTTATAAAAATTAATATCGTGGTCTACAGATAAAGATAAAGATTAACTAATTGATTTACAAAAAAAAATTAAAATAATAAAATTTAGATAAATATATGATTTGTTAATCTATATCTATCAAAAACATATCTATCTAAATATTTATTTTGGTTTACTTATATTTTTTTTCTCCTTTTATCACATATTATATTTTTTTATTTTGAATTTTTTATCTTGTGAAATACTCTTATCTATAACTTCTTATCTCCTCTTAACCTACTCATCATCATTTTTATTATTTGTTATTATCTACCAAGTGATAAAGATATATATATAAAAAAAAAGAATGGTTGGCTATGAATAAGAAGAGTATTAATAATTAAATAATAAAAGCTGTATGGGAGAAGGCAATACAAAAATCTCACAAAGTTATTTTCCGTCACTATATTTATTCAAGGTAATAATTTGATATTCTTTCTTTTAATTTTTAAAAATAGTTTACATTAGATCATTGCTATGTGTTTTTTCTTTTTCTTTCTTTTTATTTTTTTATAAGATTGTCATTTTTATAGTATTTCTTCAATCCCATCTCTAAATTTTCGCTATGAAATTTCTATTTTTTTAATAACAAAGTTTAGAACTAATTTCTTATCAAATTTGTTTTCTTGGTGCTTATTTTATTGAAAGATTGAGATGAGTAAAACTTTCATATGATATATGAAATTAATGAATATAATACAAAGATGGTAGAGAAATACTACATATTTGTCGATATCTCTCTTTTATTATTAGTTGATTTATTAGATTATATTATCAATTTAAAGCCCATATGATTTAATTCAATGTCCATGACTTTAGTTACATTCGACCATTTTGTTGTTGAGTAACCTATATAATTTTTTTTTTTGGATATATAATGATTAAAGCTATCATTTGTTATATTTCTTCAAATACAATTCAAATAATTTGTCATCATTTTTTTTTTATAAATAAAATGGATTAAACTATTTTCTTATATAATTTTTATAATCCTACGAAATTCTTATCTTGAATTTTTTTTTTTTAAATGTTGTAGAAACTATGCAAGTATTATTCAAGTTATGGAGAATGATTACTTACAAATTATAATTAAAAGCTGAGATTTATTCATAATTTGCTCCTAAAATAATAATATAAATCATTGATTTAAAATAAGTAAATTTATGATAACTTATAAAATTTATTTCTTTTAATGCTTTGTTTTTGTTTTTGTTTTTTTTGCATGACACTATAGTCTGATACAAATTATTTATGTTATCAAGTGATTATAATACTATTATCCCAACAATCTTTATAATTAACAATTTTTTATGTATATCAAATTTTTATTGTGAAATTTTGCAGATTAATTATTGTTAACATCAACCAAGATGGCCTAACATCATGACTTGCTGCTATTAAAATATAATTCAAGATTAGAATAATTTATATATCACACAAAATGTATATAGCTTATTTTTCGGTGCATCGCACGGGTTACCGCTAGTAAGAATATGAACAAAATGTTATCAATTTTTGTATTAGAACTATTAGGATCAAATTAGCATAAGAAGTAAATTACATGGATTGTGGGTATGTTATATTTGGATCTTGGATTTATGGGGTTGGTTTTGTTTGGTTCTCAGAATTTATTTTTTGAATTCTTTTTAGAGAAATAATAAATAAAAAGCACTCATCTTTTTTATATAATTTTATATTTGTCAAATTAATTTCTATTTTTTAAAAAAAGAACTCATAAAATTGATTCTGGTCTTAAATTTTGAAACATTTTAAATTATGTTTAAATTTTGAATTTGTGGATTAAAACCGATAGTGACTCTAGTTTTGTTGGTAAAATGTCTTTGTTTTTGGGGTCGGTAAGCAGTGTGTGAAACATGAATTTATTAAACTTTACAGGTTGAAGACGCCTGTAACAAGAATAATGACAAGCTAGCAGTCCAATTGAACACCACCTCAAAATTTGCTCAGTAAGTACAAAAGCAAAAAGTGGAAAAAGTTGAAACATTATTATTATTATTAAAGATTGTCTGCATAAAACAACTTAGTCGGTAAGTGTAATATGAAACATATGACCTTAAGAGCCGTTTGTTTGCTGCTCTAGCCCTCCGGATTGGACTAAGAGTGATGAACAATGAATAAACATCATATTTATTTTGTTTGTAGAGATCCGGATTTATAATTTCTTCCGAGTATGAAAGGTTCTGGCTGAGTTGATTATGAGTTTGGTTGAGACTATGGTATTAAAAAATAATTCATTCGGCTTAAGAACATCTTGAATAGTAATAGGTATTTTATTTATTTAACTATTATAATAAAGTATACATTTTATTTTGTCTATCAACTGTTTCATAACTATTTATACAAATATTATTAATTTTATAGAATGTCACATCAGCAACAATGATAGAAGGAAATAATCCTAATGATTAAATACATTTTGCCTAGCCTTGAATGCTATGTATATATA